ATATAAAATAAAATAAAATAAATAAAATAAAATAAAATAAATACATAAATATTTTTTTTAAAAAAAGAAGCTGCTTCAGTAAAAGTAGTTTGAATTGGGTTTTCTGTCACAACCACCAAAAGAACCATCCTGATACTTTCTAAATCACCTTTTAGTCTATTAAGCTACATTTATCTGAACTCCAGTACTTTCTCCTTTTTGAAAATAAAACTTGAGAGACTGACAAAGTAAAATTTAACTAAATTGCCTTGACAGATCAACTCTCCTAAGGCTGGTGTTCTTGGCAAGATAACTCCATATTATGTAGAACAGAAGGTTGCTTTTCTAGTGCCACAGAACATGTGATTTCACCTATCAGCAAATTTGCTTTAGAAAATGTCACTTCTAAGCTGTGCCTGGTAGTTTAGGCCTGCATCCCAGCTACTGAGGATGTTGAGACAGGAATATCAGAAGTTCAGAGCCAGCCTGGGTGATAAGAGAGGGGGAGAGGAGATTACTTTTACCACAGGGTTCTGTAGCACACAGATCTGGAGGTTCAAGAGCACGGCACCAACACTGCTCAGCTACAGCCAGGGCCTTGAGTAGAATGATGGCAACAATGGCGACAGCATGCACAGAATGGTGAGCAGCAGAAGAGAGAGGTAAGGAAGCAGCAGGCTCCCTACAGCACCTCATCCTCAAGGAACTAACCAGGATCCCTCAAAACCCACATTAATTCCTGTTGAGTGCAGCACCCAAATGGCCTAACCACCCTCCACTGGGACTCACCTCCTCTACCTTCAAGACAAGTCTCTAGTACATGAACCTCTGGGAGACAAACCATAGCCAACCACAGCTCCTAAAGACAACTAAGTATACCTAAACATTTATTTAGCAAGTTTGGCAACAAAACAAATCAATAGCCGATCAAATTACACTCACTAAACCATTCACTGCACTAGCTAACAATTATAATAACAATCCCTCTCCGTGCTTCCTTCAAAGGCCTAAGATCTCTGAGGAAAATCCTGGTATGGTGCTCACCCATGCTCCTCCTTCAAGACAGAGCAAATACATTTCACTTGACTTGTGGTAGCTCCAAACGTGAGCTACAAGGTCAGAGAGCTTCATGCTTTTTCACACCTTTGAATTGACACACAGCTAAATAGTTACAGCTACAATATGCAAATGACCTTGAGCAAGCAAACAGATAACCATACCAACATAGATTGATTTGTTCTACTACATTCCAAGCTTTATTATCTTGCTTTGCTGTTCTTTCCTGAGGTTTGCTATGATTAACTAGCACAAGATTAGAATCCTACTTGGCTTGCTATGATAAGCACTTCAAAAGCTCCTCTGCCCCTCTCCAGTCAGGGCTGCCCTCACGCAGGCTAGAGTCACCACCTGAATGCAATGAGGACCTTCCTTCTTCAAGGCTGTAGGGTTGTAATGTACATAATACTACATGCTGTCTTAACTGAGCCAGTCACTAGATTAAGAACAGTCAGTATATATCAAATTTATAAAATTAATGAAGGTAGTTGACATGTTTTTTTAAATTGAGGAATTGCTATTATTTCCATACTATGCTTCTGCCATGACCAGTAGAAAACACACACCTAGAGTAGAATCTGAAATTCATAAAAGCCTCTTAAAACCGTCCTAAGAGCACGAACCTTCAGTTATTATCATTTCATGCAAAAAATACAGCAGGTACTCTAAATTTATTAGATGAATGAACAAATTTGATGAGTTCAGATTGTTATATGATGACAGAGGAGGTTATTCTTACTTTATCCTTGCTTTTATGAAGTAAAACAGGAATAGGAAAACTTTTTGAAAAGGGCCAGATGACAAGTAGTTTAGTCTTTGAGTCATATGGTCATTGTTGTAACTACTTACCAGGTTTCTTCTGCAACTATTCAACTTTAATGTTATATAGTATATTGTGTAAACAAATCCTCATGGTTGTATTTTAATAAAACTTTATTTACAAAAGCAGAATTTGGCTCCAAAAAACCCATGGGGACTACTTTCTTGTTTGTTTGTTTTAGACAGGGTCTCCCTGTAGCCCCAGTTGGCCTAGAACTATGTAGACTAGATGGCCTCAATCTCACAGAGATCTGCCTCCCGAGTGCTACAGTCAAAGGTATACAACACCACACCTGGCAGAATACTTTCTTATAATGAATACTCGAGGCCTTAAACAATACATTTTTGACAGACTTGCTAAGTTAAGCCAGACTCATTTTGTTGGGTCAAAATTTGGCCAGAAGGTATATGATAGATCACAGTGCCCATTATTGCCTATTAATTTTAGTCCTGTTACCAGCCTAGTCTATACAAGCCTTTTAAGTTATTGCCCTGAATTCTACATTACAACTAGTTTCCAAGGATCTGACCCTTGTCCATAATGTGACTCCACAACCATGATACGGACTCTTCAAGTGCAAAGCCACAACCGTCAGTTCTTTGCATCTTATTTAATACCTAATGTAAGCACCTAATGAGCTTTAACTAGTCATTGCTAGCCTGTCTGAAAGCTTCTGCGGTCTCCCTGGAAATAGGGCAGAGTGACAGCGGCAGAGAAGGACAGATACCACAGCCAGCAGAGAAGCAAGGGAGAAGGGGCACAGAGAGTCACAGGAAGAATGGCAGGAGCCACTGCAGGACCACACACAGCTCTCCCACCTGTGCCTGCATTTCCCATCACATGTCTGGACTTCACATGTCTGGACTTCTCCGTATACAGCAGAAGCTAGGCAGACTCTGGATAACTAAGGACTACTTCATTGGAGCCAGAAAAGAATAAAACCATTTCTGATGGAGGGTGGTCTGGAACGTAAACCCCTTAAAAATTATCCACACCTACTAGAATAAATAAATCATGGTATCCCCACACAAGGGAATGTTTGATAGCAATGAAAATGAACATGTTCTACTATATGCAACAATGCAGGACTCTAATAGATCACGGCCTTGGGGCAGCAAATCCATGCAAATCACAGTCCTGCCCTTTTGCTCCATGAAAAAGACACACACACACACACACACACACACACACATACACACACACACCAGAAAAAACTAATTTATGTTGCTAAAAGTCAAGGCAGTTTATAATACGTGTACCTAGAAGAAGCCTGGAATTCAGAAGAGTTAGCAGCTACCCTACACAAACTGCAGATAACAGTTTATGTAATTAGCCATGATGTATAATGATCTATAACTATAATCATTATCTAACACATTTTTTAGATTTTATGTAAAATTTTAACTTAAGTAGTCAAGTTTCAAAACTAGGGATCGTTTTTAGTTTTTCTAATGTTGATTTTAATATACTAAACCTCCATTTCACATTATCACTCATACTCTTCACACATTCTTTTTCTTAAATATTTTATTATTTTTATTTTATGTGTATGAGTATATTGCCTGCATGTATGTAGGTGTACCCATGTGGTGCAATGCCCATGGAGATCAGAAGAGGGCATCAGATCACCTGGAACTGGAGTTATAGAGTTGTTAGCCGCCATGTGGGTGCCAGGAACCAAACCTGGGTCCTCTGGAAGAGCAGCCAGTGTTCTTAACCACTGAGCCATCTCTCCAGCCCCATTTCTCCATATTCTACATTTAGATTTTTAAAAAACTCAATTAAAACTTTTGATCACATTAGAGCACAAAGACTGGTTTCTTTATGAATTTTGATCCGAAGGAAGGTAAGGGTCATCATCTGACCCACTCACCCAACCACCAAACATCAGCCACCGGAGCAGACAGGCAGACAGCAAGCCAAAGAGAGCACGGCGCCCCTCTCTGACAGAGGCTATCTCCATGCCTTTATATTCAGATGGTTCTCCTTTTCACCTAATTCATACTGCTCATCTTCCCACTGAGTAAATCTCTGTTTAAAAATCTTTTAATATGACTTTATTTCTATAACTATTAAGGGACATTATCTCAAAGTTAGCCTCTTACACAAAATAGTTTATTTAAATGACTTGGTATCACATAATTTACGGAATGTTCTAAAATGCCTCTAGGCATTTCCTTAGGAGAAAATGACATCATGTTCACAACCTATTTCCATTTGTTTCAGAAAAACAAAAACAAAAACAAAAACAAAAATGTTAACAACTTTCAAATCCAGGTACTAGACACATAGAACTCATACATGCTTTTTTTTTTCTTTTGTATGTATAGCCTGCATGTGGGTAAGTGTACCCATGTCATGCAATGCCTAAGGAGGTCAGAAAACAGCATCTGGTCCCTTGAAATGGAGTTACAGGCAGTTGTTAACCGTCATGTGGGTGCTGGGAACCAAACCTGGGTCCTCTGCAAGAGCGCTCTTAACCACTGAGCCATCTCTCCAGCCCCATTATACATGCTTTTAACACCTCAGTAGGCTTCAAATTTTTTTTACAGTAAAAAGCTTCATACAAATCTTCACTCACCTTCCAAGTGGGTGGCTCTCTTCTAATCAAAACCAAATGGCTCAGTCTACCCAAAGGCACTTCAGGGGCCTCTCATGCTGCCTTCACCCTGCAAGAGGCAGCATAGCTACATGTTAACAGGGAATTTTACTAAGTTAATGTAAGAACACTTAACATAAGGCAAGCCTCTAGACTAAATATGCTACAACTTATTTTTAAAACAAGGGGAAAAGTGAAAACAGGGAAAATCACCACATGTTGACTAAGGGAAATGCCATCAGCCTCACCCGCTCAAAGAATTCTTGAAATACAAGGACCTCTCAGTAAGTTTCTTTCTTTTTCCTTCCTCTCCCTGGTTTTATTAAGATATGATTGACAAAATGTACCTGTATTTAGGGTATATAAAATGATGTCCTAATATACAAATAAATTGAGAAAATATTACTACAATCAAGCTAATTAACATACCCATCATTTCATATACCTAATTACCTTCTTTTGTTGTTTATTTTGAGTCATGTCTGGCTAAGAAGCCCAGGCTGGCTTTGAACTCTGCGCTCTCCTAGTCTGTCTTCAGAGTGCTAGGGTTACAGGTAAAATACCCACTCCTGGCTACTAGTTACCTTCTTATTTGTGGTAAGAACTCTTGCAATCTCCTCTCTTAGCAAATTTCCAACTCACATTATTAATTATAGCCATCATGCAGTCCTTCAGGTCTTTCATGTATTATTAGCGCCTTGAGTTTCTCTTCATTCACGAAAAATTTCAACACAGTAGAACAGTCCAAACATCAAAAAATCAGCCCAAACTCAGGCAAAACTGAAGTTGTAGAACACGAAGCTCCCTCTGATCTTGAATTTCTGAGACCATACTCATAAGTTAAAAAACCACACTGAAACTGCTAAACTTCCTGAAATCATTTCAGGCAAAGGTATTCAGATCCGATCTGTGCTTAGCTCAACTACATGTTACACTGCAAGATTGCATTCTGGCCTAAAGTCATTCAGAAGCTACCACAGGACCTTCTTCTTTGGCCTTCTCTAGTCATCTGATTCTCCCCTGAGCCCTGAGGGTGAGTGAGTTTATTGCCTTCTTCAGAAAGCACTAAGTGTCAAAGATGATCTCTGACAAGGACCTTCAAGTAGAAAACTAGAGAAATGAAATTCCTACTTAAATTCTGTGACCCCAGTATCACTACACAGGATGCGCTGTCTCCACCTGATGCTCTCCTGCAAAGCAGAACCAGAGTCAAAGGACCACACAGCACTTCTACCTGAGCACTTCCACAGACACGGTGTATGCTACAGCAAGTTCTCTAAGAGAAGACATTCATGATCACTCCTAACAGTGCCATTCATCTATGGTTATTACAGTTACTATATTCACTACTAATAATTATACTTCCCTCGTAGACACAATAACCCTTCCTGTATTTTGGCGTTTTATACACATTTTTCTCTTTCCCAGAAGAGTGCAGTTGGTCCAGTGGAGTGAAAAACAAGCATCACAATGGACTGCTGGTGATTTTTATCTTTGCCATAACCAAAAGACATTATCCCTTACTGGTGAGGACTTTCCTTTCCACAAAATGGACCCTGTAATACAATATAAAGGCATGGGCACAGTTCCACAAATGAAGACAAAAGCCACACCAAATCTAGAGAAGAGAACGCAGGCTGTCTACATGACAGCCAAAAGGGCCTCTGCCAAGCACCAAGCTTCTGCACATAGTTTGGAGATATGGATGCTTAATGTGTGCCAGCACTTGTGATGAGAGCAGGAGGACTTGCAGTCCTGTCTCCCCACTTTTCAACTTGAGGAAGAAGAGACTACCCCCTCTGGCTGCTTCCTCACCCGCCTGTTAGAACACCTTTCCAAGGATGTTGGAATTCACAAGGGAGACACGTGACTCTGCCTCACAAAATGGGGCAGTTGGGCCCCCCAAGAATACTCACCAAGCAACTACAAAAAAGTAAGGGAAAAATACATAATGCATTTTCTAGAAACATCAATCTTACTCAAATATGTTGGTAAGGGAAGGTTAAGCAAATGAATTAACAATTTTAAAGTTGTTAATAATAAAGCATGCAGTACAACGCAATTGCTGCATGAATTTTTAAGCAAAATACGCCTGTTCTGACTTGGTCACTTCTAGCTTCACTCTCAGTTGAGTTGGGAAGAGAAGAGTAGACTAATTCTGCATTCTCATTAAAGATGTTCTTGAGAGAAGGTGCAGTATGGGCAAGGATTTTAGTATCATGACCACTCTTGTTCTAGAGAATTCACTTCAAAATCAAAAGTCCCAGATTTTTGCCAGATGTAGAGGCAGACAGAATGAAATCTAGGTACATATAATCCCATCTACACATCGTATAGTCTGGCAGACATCAGGGAAGTTCAACCCTTATCCTCCCGGCCACTGCCCAATAGACATGCACAAGCCTGGCAGGCTCATGCCACTCAGGTGCTTGGTTTCATATCACTGACATTTTCCTACTCCGAACTTAGTGGTAACACATTATTTGCAGGAATTTCCATTTAAAATGGATGGCTATATCATTACTGTAGAATAATGAACCTACCAATTTAGTTTGTCTCCAAAAAGTTAGTATTTGAAATATATTTAAAAAGAGCATAACTGTGACAGCCAGCCTCCAAAATGGCCCCCAGTGAACCCCACCTCCCAGCATTCCTGGATTTGCATAGTTAGCCCCCCTCCACACTGAATAAGGCTGCTGTGAGTAAACACTATAATACTGCCAAATGCCAAAGCGATTCAAAGGTTAGGTGAAGAGACTACAGCTTATATGTCATTCTGTCTTTGGCGGGAAGCTGGTTGCCATGTCATGAAGAAGCTCGTATTACAGGGGCTGGGGAGACAGCTCAGTTGGTAAAGTGCTTTCCATGCAAACATGAGGACCTGAATTCAAATCCCCCAGAAGCCATGTAATAAAGCCAGTTGCCACACACATCTATAATGCCAGTGCTCCTATGGCAAGATAGGGGGTGGGGAAAAGAGACGCTCTGGAAGCTCACAGGCCAGCAGCTAGCCTGGCATATGCAGAGTGAACAAAGAGACCCTGCCTCACACAAGGTGAAGAGGGGACCAACACCAGAGTTGTCCTGACTTCCTGGTGTATGCTTTGTTACATGTGCCCCTTCCCCACCCCATGCCCCCACATACAAAGCAGTTCTAGAGAGTTACACAGGTAAAGGCTACTTCCCAATAACCGGTGAGAAACTGCAGCCTACAACAGTCATGCAAATCAGCCACCCTAGAAGCAGATCCTTCAGCACCAGTCAATCCTGACTGGCATTTCATGACCCCAAGTCAAAACCAGCCATCTAGCCTGTTCCCAAATCCCTGACCCACACACAGAAACTGCATCAGACTATACTTGTTGTTTAATTTGAAAGTTTTGAGGTAATTGCTCATGCAGTGCTAACTACTATAATAATACATGCTAACTTAAAGAATAAAGAAAACACTCAAAGTTACCTAATACCTTACTGGTGTCTGTCGTGGGTTTTTTTAGAGGCCCTGTGTTTGTAAGCACTTCCTGAATACATTTCCTCTGCTCATCCCTCACTACCTCCCTGACCACTGAGATGCGCCACTAGCCTGAGTTCTGAATCAACAACTCACTTGTTCCTCTTTACAGTTTTACCACATATGTATTCTCAATGTTATTGTGTTTTGCCGAATTTAAGCCTAATGTAAAGAAAACCATATTGGATGTATTCTTCTGAGACTTCTTTCCTAAGCTTTAATTCTGAGATTCATCCTTGTTGATTCATGTGGCTACAGTTCATTCATTTTTATCACCATTATGGTTTCCACTGTGTGAATGGACTCGCAATTCTCAGCTCTACTCTATTGCTAAGCATCTTGGGATTTTTTTTCAAATATTTGCTATGATGAATAATACTGTCATTTGAGCCTGGTGCACAAAGGCAAGTTTCTGCAGAGTATATATCTAGGGCAGGATAGCTGGGCTTGGGGACCCCACATGCCACTCCTCTAAGTAAAGTCAAAGTATTTTCCAAAGTGGTCGTGTACAATCGACTCTAGCCGCTTTTCCAGTCTCTCTCTAAATAAGGGGCATGCTCGTTTTGCTAATTACAAGGAAAGCTTTCAACCAACAAAAGGGAAAGCTTTCTCTCTTTGCAGCATCACAATACTGCAAAGAAATAGTACTCCAGAGCAGTGGCCCAGACAGATGGAACCTATTAGTCACAGGACATCGGTACAGACTTCAGAATGATGATGCAGACGCAGTGCCACCACACACTACCCATGGGCCTGAGTCAGATTTGACTTCTAGACCTTTGGTGGATTCCAAGGCTGTTTTCTTCCTGATGGGCTCATATACTATAGCTCTACCTTATTCCTGTCACCTTAACGGGAAAAAATGAACTTGCACACAACCAGACAAATTCAAAGTTGAGACAGAAGGGTCAGTCACCTCCAAGAAATCATCTCTCCTAATAGAGAACAGGTTATACTTTCAATATTTTCACCTAGAACATGAACTATTAGATACTACAACTAAGTTTTGGTTTTATTACTTCTACAAAAAAACTTTAAGTATTTTCTACACACAGAAAGAAAATGTCCTTTACAGATTTAGATAATTCACTTTCTTAGATTGAAATGGTAATTTTATGATAATCTGTATTTCTAGTAAAAATATGATGGCAAATGTCTCTACTGACATTAAGTACAAGTAACAGGAAATTCTTTTAACTTGGACAGGAAAAAAGAACTTTCATAAATTCCAAGAAGGCACATCATGTCATAGTAAGGCAGAACTAAAATGTCACCTAAGGGGACCACTTCAACTTGACCTCTTTACAATTTGTATTTGTCTCTTTAAAATTGCTTACTTTAGGAGGTAGGAGCTACTGTACCCATTCTGAAGATGGAGAATACTTAGGCAGGGAAAGCAATGAAGTTGTGCCCAATAACATGGCTGATAACTTTCAGGACCAGGATTGAACACAAGAAGTTTATTCCACATTTGGCATTTTGTTAGCTTGCTTGCTTATTTTAAGATAGGATCTCTTAACTATATCTCAGGCTGGCCTCAAATCCATAATCCTCCTGCC